AACAGTACAGTGGCCCTGCAAGTATCAGTAGAGACTTCTACTGTGGTGAATGAAAGGGACTGGTATACCACTAACTGTTTCTTTGAGGCATCTTTTTTTTTTCTTCCTGCCTCTTGGATTCTATGTGCTGCTGCTGCTGCAGGGTTAACATCCCAGATTAAAGTAAACTGGGCCTTGGCTGACCTCTGATTTTATTTGGAAGATTCTCAAAGGACATATTCAACAACAGACCTCCTTCGTTAATATTCTTAAAACAATTCACCACAAAAAATCAAGTTATGCCAGGTGTGCTTGGGAATCTACCCAAAAGGTTTAGTTTCTGAAGTGTCCATTACTCTTTAAGACCTTTCAATGCTTCCCAAACAAAACTGAAAGCAGAATTACACTGGGGAGGGGCGATAGTGCCTGTGTGAATCCGGGAAGAATCTGGATGCAGGGAGGCAGAAACCATGTTTCATTTTTCCTTCTGATAGTACTTTCCTCTTTATTCCACATACAAATTACAGTAGTGCTGGTCTTAGTTTGGATTTCGAGAGGTTTCAGTTCATTATCATCACGGTGGTAAGCATGGAAGCATCCAAGCAGGCACTGTGCAGTAGAAGGAGCCTGAACACCTTGATCCTAAGTCAGCGAGAAGTCTGGCTTCCTCTCTTAGTGGAGCCACCCCCACACTGACTCACTTCCTCCAACGAGGCCACACCTACTCCAACAAGGACACACCTCTTAATAGTGGGCCAGGCTTTCAAACACCAGTCAATGGAGACCAAACCCACTCGAACCATGACAGTGCTCAATTTGATATTCTTGAAAGATGTTTTAGATGAATAATGTCTAAAACTAACATTCACTTAAGGTGATTCCTGGTAATGAGTTAAGTGATGAAATTTGTTTTGTTTTCAGCCAATTTCCCCCTATGTTTCTTGGGTTGATTTTGAACTTGAGGGCTAAATTAACCCTCCCACATTAGTCTTCTGAGTAACCAGCACTACAGGAGCTTCTGTGCTGGCTAGTTTTAGGTCAACTAGATACAAGCGAAAGTCATCCAAGAGGAAAAGAACCTCAATTTAAATCCCTCAATAAGATCTGGCTGTAGGCAAGCCAAGGGCATTTTCTTAATTAGTGATTGATATGGGAGGGCCCTTCACACTGTAGCTGGGACCACTCCTGGGCTGATGGCCCTGCTGCTATTAGCTGGCTGAGCAAGCCACAGGATGCAAGCGAGTAAGCAGCATTCCTCCCTGCCTCTAGGTTCCTGCTGTGTTTCCATTCCTGTTCTGACTTCCCTAAGAGGTAGAGCATGACCTGACATTTGTAAGATGAAGTGAACCCTTTCCTCCCTGAGTTGCGTTTTTGGTCATGGTGTTTCATTGCAGCAGTAGTAACCCTTATTAGGATGGGAGTATGCTACCATATCCTGCAAAAGGATGAATTTCTAGAAAAACACTTAACTGTTAATTCAAGAACGTCATATGCTCTCAAAGGTAGGAAGGTTTTTGTTTGTTTGTTTTGTTGTTGTTGTTTGTTTTTTTTGGTAGGAAGTTTTTTAAACATAAGTATTCATTAAGGGTAATTCTTTTATTACAGGACCTAAGAGATATTCAGAATTAACTATTAAAAACATATGTTGGATACAATGTAGGCAAATTGTTGCTCTAAACTTACTTTAAGAGTTTTTCTATACTATACTTTGAAAATATGTCATCTAAAATTACACTCACCAATAAACACATTTTACACCTTGGCAGATGATCTATAACCCTATAAAAAACTAATAAAAATGCCAAAAGGTATAGGAAAGTGTAACAGCGTAACTGTAGCAGTTACTTACGTTTATATATGTAAATATATGTAGGCTTGCATGCCTGCTCCCCACTGTATAACAGAGTACTTCAGAATTTAGTGACCTAAAACAATAGTCATTTTATCAAATTTCACGACTCAGGAATTTGAGCAGTGCTTATTGTGTTCCAAGTAGGATCAATGAATCTTACTGAATGAAATTCATCTAGTGAATGGAGTCAACACGAAGTAATTCACATTTAACAGGAGATACTGAGAGGCAGAGATTAGTTGGCAGTCCTGGCCAGAGTCCACATCCAGTAGCCTTTTCGGGGAAGCAGTATCATGGGAGTTGAATTTACATGTCAGCCCAGAGCTATCAGAGGGAATAACCCAAAATAATATTCTAGAAAATGCAAAGTTCCCGTTGGCTTAACTTTGAAAATCTTAGAATAATAAAATTTTTAAGTAATTTTAAAGATTACTATTTTTAAGGTAGTTAGGTTAGAACCAACTCAAGAGTGAGGGTTAAAACTCTATTTTTCTCTTTTTTAATTTTTTTGAAATTAAAATATAGTTATGTTATCTCTGCTCTCTCTTTTCCTCCCTCCGGCCCTTCCCATGCCCTCCTATTCCCTTTTATCTTTTTTTTTTTTAAATCAAGTTCATGGACTACGTTTTTTGAAAAACTATTTTTGCGTATAGTGGACGAGGTAGGGAAAGTCTGTAAGAGCCAGAGGACCCGGAGTCTGCTGTGCGACTTCCTCTTCTAGACTTGTCAGGGAAGCTACACCCAGGAAGACTCGTGAGCATGCCCTGGACAGGGATGGCACCAACAGACATGCTAATACAAAAAGGGGGAAGTCCCATGGGGCCTCGACCCTAGACAAAGGACTCCATGCAACTAAGGCATTCTGGGAGCAGAGGAAATCAACTCTCACAGGAAAGCAACGACAGTGCAATGGACCTAGTCTACAATACTCCTGGGAAACAGGTAGAGCACCTGGGCTCATCACCACTAGACTTCCGACTTTGGACTAGTTAAATGTTCACTTTGCGGTATATTCTAGTCTAGTACCGATGGAAGACAAACGGAATCCCTAGATTTTTAAGAGTGTCAGACTGATTATTCTACAGCTGCGCCATAACTGTTTGCTTGTTTGTTTGTTTGTTTGTTTGTTTGTTTGTTTTTCTCACCAAGTCATTGTCAACATAAATCAGAGTCAGAGGTTCTCCACAGTGACATTTGTTTGGAAAGAGCAGAGTATAGGGAGAGAGGAGACAAAAAATAAACTGCAGATATAGTCAAGAGGGTTTGAGGGAGGATAAGATTCTAAATTTAAAAAGATAAATTTACGTAAGCGTCTTGAATATCAAGACTTTGGGGATTTTGGAGGAAGAAGAAGGAGTTGAGATGGGTTCACTTGTATAGTAGGTTAGGATAGCCAGGGAAACATTCTGCGTGAGCATTTGTATGGACTGCTGCAGTTTTCATGTTACAGATAATCCTACCGGCAACCCCCCCCACCCCACCCCCGCACACTCGCCCCTCCAACCCCGCGGTGGAAGAGGTGCGCAAAGCAAGCTGGTCTATTAAAACAAACACAGATCTAATGAGCCAAGAAACTACTTACCTCAGACAGGTATGACCACTCCTCCCCCAATAATACTGTCGGGTTCTAATTTTGTTTGGGTCTGACAAGAAGGACTTCATCCTAATATCATCATTTTTTATGAATATCCTGACCAGAGTGTTCTTCTTGTGTGTATTGTGGGTCCATCATTAGTTTTTGAGCCTCTATTCGTCATAAAGTCATTGAAGGTAAAGCCAGATGCCACTCCAGAGAGAAAAACCTGCGTTCATTGTGAAGAGGAGGAAACTACTAGGGTCTCAAGGAGCTACGTGACCTGTCCAAAGCCAGAAAATACTGGCAGAGGCACACCCTACTGTAATGTCTGGAAAGCAGCAACCGTAGATTTATCTATGGAGAGACATCTGCTAGCAGAGTCTTCCCTAAACAATACTCATCTACCTGGATGTGTAATTTATTTTTTAATTACTAGTTCTGAGGACATTATTATGCATCCAATAAAACTAATCCATGATCCCGGCAATATCCCACAGCAGAAAAAGTCCTGTAAAGACTCATGTGCAGGCAGAAGGCCACTGTTTCATGGGGTTTGTTTCACGCTCTGCCGTTTTCCGATTCTTTGGTTGTTATTTTGCCTTGAAGAGTTCTTACAGTATGGTCGCCTCTGGACCTTAGAACCATAGTCTTCAGCACTCCAATTAGAACTAGCCTATTCGTTGTATAAATTCCGAGATTTTTCTGCCTAGGGCACAAAAGTGGACTAATCACTGATAAAATAAATGTGTTGGTCTAATTCTTCTGGCTCCTTTGTTTTGAGAGAAGTTTGCTCTTGGGATGAGAGGACAGAGAGCTCTGACTTTTATTTTATAGCCCGCAGGGACTTTAGGTGGCCTTAAGTACTGTTCCCGAAGCTTGGCTTTCCTGTTTAGAGGGTGCACTGTCACGATTAGCTTTTGTCTTCTGCTGCGGCTAATTTGTCTTCCTCTTGGACCAGCCGGTGGGGGGCGGGGGTGTGGGCAGGACCCGCCTGCTGATGGAGACACCTCCTTCCACTCTCTGACCTGGGCGGGATCAGGCTTCCCGCTTGGCTGGGAAGAGCCCTAAGGGGGCGGATCCCGGCCACAGGGGGCGGGGCAGCAGCTGACCCCTGGCCACTCCCGGGGACCGGGGACGGGGGCGCGTCCCGGTGGAGCTGGTCCAGCGCTCTCGGGAGTGGGTTGGCC